ATATCATTTTAAAATTTTCTTTTGTTAATTTGAAAGACCCAAGATTTTTCTGCATCTATTGTAGAGTATATATATGCTTCTCAAGAAGAGAATAATTTTATTGTCATAAACATGATTTTTCTTTGACTAACAACAGGAAATCAATGACTTTTTACCATTCACAGATTTAAAGATAACTCTTCAACAAATTCTATCAAAGTACATGCCTGAGTTACAGTTATTATTTAGGAATTGTCTATCTGTTAGTTATTAGGATGTCATTGATATTTGCAAGTGGTTATGGACATTGAGTGAAACCATTGTAAAATATTTATTCTGTTTAAAGGTTCTCAAATTAAATCTTAACAGATTTTTTTTTTGAGGTAATGTACTTGTACCATACTGTTGCTGATTTTGGACTTAGGCCTTGAAATAAGTTACTTTTAACTTACAGAACTGAAGCATCTCTGGTAGAAAAACTGACAACTAGGTTTTTGAAATCTGGTCTGAAACCAGAACAAATAGGAGTTGTCACTCCTTATGAAGGTCAACGAGCTTACCTTGTCCAGTACATGCAGTATAATGGTTCCCTTCATGCTAAACTTTATCAGGTGAATAATTGAAACTTGTCATATGTTTATTTGTAGTTTGTATTTGCTTGCAGCTTCTTTTTTTTATGCTTTCTATTTACTTTGAGAATGATTTTTAACTTATTAACTGTTTGCATAAACTTTGAAATTTGCAACTAGCTCATTGAACTTTTACTCTGAAAAGAAATTGTGGAGGTGAATGTTACAAAAAGAAGTACAAGGAATTTTTTTTTATGAAAATACATTTACACAGACGTGTGTTTTAAAAAATATTTATGTATATATTTTTTGCATTCATATTACAACTAAAATGAAAGTTATTATGCAAACATTAGTTGTTAAAGAAACTGATAGAAAATGGATACTTGCCATAAAAATTGAAGCCCAAAAAGGTCAGTTCCATTTTTGTGTGTTGAACTGAAAGTTTACTGCATGTTGTAACTGAGCACAAAAATTAACTATTCAATATACATAGATTTTTTTTTTCAAATGAAAAATAAACAAACAGCAGATTTTTACTTAATTTGAGAATTGTTTTGCTTTCTTTAATCTTATGATCTTTTAGTATGATTTATTTGGATAAGTACATTATTCCCATGCCATAAAATAAGAACCAGCTTATGTCTTAGAGTAACAACTGATATTACTATAAATAAGATGTACATTTTGTTACATTACAAAACGGTGTTAACTTTCAAATTACTAAAATGTCGTTACCATTCATTAATGAAAAGTTTGCTTATTACATCATTTTAAGCAATTTTGTGTTTTTACCTGTTAAATACTCAGTATAAAAAAAAAAAAAATGATGAAGTCACTCATGTTCTATATAAAATACATAGGGGCCCTAGCAGTATTTTCTGAGAGTAATTGTAATTATGATTTTATTTTTTTGTTTACCTTTCACGTGACTCATCATTATGGACCCTGCAATCAAAAGGTCATGAACTTACAAGTTGCTTAGTAGTTTAGATTTTTTTAAATTTGTTAAGTCCATTTAGACCTCACCAATAATTCTAGGATTAACAGCTTATAGTACTTTAATATGAGTTTCTGTGTTAAGGAAGTAGCACAAATTGTATTAATGCATGCTAGCTACTATAAATAAATGCCTCTTAAATTCCATTAAAGTATTTTTGTAATGCATGTTTAGTCTTGTGTATTTTGAGTTAAACATTCTAACTGCTCTGAAAATGCTTATTTCAAATAGAGATCACTGAAAAATGTTGATCTACAGTGTTCTGTTGTTGAAGAAATTGATAGTAATGCATTTGACTATGGTTTGAACCATGCAGAAATGAATGTTATAGTTATATCCAGATGCATCATAGTTTCATTTTGAAAATCTGGTCTAATACTTAATACTAGATAGTGAGAACAACTGTTATGTATTGTAATATTTCTTTGTGATTATGCATGTGTCTTTCTTTTGTTTTCTGTTTTTTTTTTAAAGGAAATCGAGGTGGCAAGTGTTGATGCCTTTCAAGGAAGAGAAAAAGACTTGATTATCATGTCTTGTGTGCGTTCGAATGAACACCAAGGAATTGGTTTTTTGAGTGACCCCCGAAGACTTAATGTTGCTTTAACCAGAGCCAAGTAAGACCTGTTGTACCATTTGGTTTGACTCATTTAACTGTTTCAGAACAGGCATCATTTTGTGCTCGTGTCAGGAGGTTTTAGTGAGTTACATTCAAAATTTAATTGAACTACTTTCTTATCATGGTATGTGAATAAACTTGGCAAAAAAAAAACATAGCTAATAATCCAAATATTAGCATTATATAATATTGAAGTTCTTAATTGTTTAAGGTAATAGTAAAAAAATATCTTAAATTACCCCTAGTGTGGGAATTGTGACATTTGTTCACTAGGTATCCCCTCTTCTCTAACAGCAATATTTACCACCTTCCCAAGAAGTATGACATTTAACATAAATTACTTGTTATAATGTTGTCATCGCTAAGGCAAAGCCTATTTTTTATAACCTTCAATCTTATTTGATTACAGAGCCATCTAATAGAAAATCATACCCCACCTTTTCACATTTTGTATTTCAGAACTTGCCAGTTGTTCTCTGACATTTAATACTATATTACTTACAACTAATAGAAAGCCAAAGTTTTATTATATTACATTGTATTCTGTACATAAAATTATCTATTTTATTTCCAGTTCAAACTTTATTCCCATGGGAAACACATCGACAAAATTAGGTGAATTTTTGAAGGCTCTTGTCGCATAGTTAAAAAGCCAGAAAAATTGTGATAGTTATAGGACATTGTCTGCTGTTTGCATGTTTTTATTTTGTGTTTTTTATTGCATTATTTAATTAAATAAAAAATTATTTAGTATGGTAGTACCATTAGTGTAAAAAGTAAGGTTAAGTGTCATCAACACTTGACAGCAAAAAGAATAAAAAAGACCCAGATAAGTACTTTATTTCTTATTTTTCATGTGTATTCTTTATTTATTATTATAAAAGTATCCAAAATGTGAAAATAAGAACATTTTCAAGTTAGATTAGATAAAATAAAGAATCATAATAATCAAAACATATATAAAATATGAAGGATTGAATGGTGCACATTTTTTATCGTAATGTGCATTTAAACTTTATTGTACAAAACAGTATAGGTCAGTCTGAGGTTTACAGTACATGCTACTAAATATTATCTATCTATCACTTTTGAAGTTTGCTATTGAAACCTTATAATATAATCTTTAATATATTTCTAATTGATAATCATGAATGTAGCACTTTCACTTCAAAATTTTGAAAAGAAATACTTGCCTGAGACTTCATGTTTTTTTCTTCATTCTCTGCACAGTCTTTCTATTTCTGTATATTTATTATCACTATTTTTAACCCTATGTGCACAGAAGGGTCAAAGTGTGCAAGTCACAACCTTTTCTTTACAGTTACATTCAAAATTTGATTAAACTTCATTATCCATGTATGTTAATAAGCTTAGAATTAAAACATAGTGTATAATACAAAGTTTTATATCATCCAAGTTTTAATTTCAAAAGGAAATATTAAAATAAATTCTCAAGTTTCACTTCTTTGTACCTCATGGCATGTCTATGCTCCAAATTGTCCATTTTAGATTTGTTGTATGATATTCTTAGTTTTCTATTAATTACACACTTATGCTGTACATATTGACAAGCCAGATTATAAATTTCTAGCCTCCAAACTCTATATTTCACAAAGACGTAAAAAAAAATCATACTCACATACCATGCCCCACCTATTTCATCTTGTCTTTCAAAAAATGTCAATAGTTGACACTTGCTGATGGTTTATTTATAACCAGTAGAAAGAGCAGAATATTCTTAACAAGATTTGTTAGAGGCCAGTTGTTTTGTGTTCTAAGTTGCATATTTAAAAGCTCCAAAGATTTTTATTTGAATAACTAGTTGAATAAAAAAAAAAAGCTTAGCTTATGTATGATTTAATTGCAAAGATTGTGTGGGTTACGTATTTCGTTCGTGGTATTTACAATCTTTGGTTTATTACATTCTGCTGTGTTTTTTGTTTGTGATTGGAGGATTAGGGCTCAAACGTGCAATAATTATGAAAATAAATCATAAATTAACATAAAATAGATGTAAAAAGGTTAACAGTTGAAGCTTTGAAGATAAGAATTACATGAAACAAGTGAAATTATGCATCAAAAGAAGAAAAAATATATTGTTCATTTTGTTTCATATTCTTCAAAATTTCTTTTCACTACCCTAACCATGATTGATAATTAGTTAATCATTCTAGAAAGAAAATGAAATGGTAATTTAAATTTATTTTGTATTTCTCAACTTTTCATTTTACCCAACATTGCTATAGTTAGTGTTAGGGTAGAGAAAATAGCATTTATAATATAGTTTTTCAAAAAAAAAGAAATAAAAAAAAAATAAAAAAAAAGACCTTAATACTCCTTCAGGAGGTTCTAGAGATTATGTAAATAAATATGAAAACAGATGAAAAAAGTGTTTTTATTCTTAACGTGAAAATTATCTTGCAGTTAGATTAGTGAGAATCTGAGCCAGACTCAGTAAGTTCACAGACAAATTTTAGTAAAAAAATACTTTAATAAATATTCAGATTTTTTGTGCACAACAGACTTTTCACATTGACTAAAAGCTTGCCAAGTTTCATTTTATGCGTAGTAAGTCCAGAATTATAGTAAAAATTAATTTTCCAATGAGGTGTTGGTCTAGTGGACTGACACATGCACTGATGTATTTTAATATATATATATATATATTATATCAAATAGTTTTATTTCGCTATATGGTTTTTGTAAGTTAGTGAACTTTCATAATGACAAAATATTATTGCTCTTGAACATGTGTACAGAGGCTTTAATTTTCAGGAGCTTCACATTTTGTATGCTAAAAAAAGTCTTAATAACTTGCATCGGATACACAGTTTTATTCTATCAGGACCAATCATGGGTAATGAAACGGCTGTATGATGTTCTAAGTTATGGAAACAGTTTCTAAAAATTTCTGGTGTGGTAGGTATTGTTATTTGTCTTTTTTGTGTTTAATATAAAGAACCAGAAACTTGTATAACAAAAATATTTCAGATTGCTTTGGTGTAGAAATTTTAAATAAGTGAAGGAGTGTTTTATTTGGAAGTTTGTAGATATGTATCCTCTTTTTCTATTTTTAGATATGGAATAATTATTGTGGGCAACCCTAAAGTTTTATCAAAGGTAAGTAACATTAGAATCTTATGATTGTGTAATACCATTCTTGACCGAGTTTTACATTTTACTCATACTGATACATCTACTTCTGTGAAACTTGACACACATTTTCTTAAGAGTTTAGATTGTTGTATTGTTTTAATTGCATAATAGTTGAGGATCAGAGTTTTTTATTGTCTGAAAAGAATTGTGTATTCAAGTTTTAAATTCAATGGCTACTGTACAGCTAAAACATTTTTAACATCAATAAGTATTGATCGTGATTCTGATGTCTGTAACCAAACCACTAATATATCTCATGAAAACTGATAAAAAGTAGAAAACAAATCATTGAAAGCACTATTTTCATTCAAATAATTACTTGTAAGATTTAGTTTGATTTAAGCTGATGTTGTGAAAACATTGTGTGTGTATGTATGTGTGTATATATATATATATATATATATACATGACATTTTTACTTTGAACATTGAAACATTCATGTATCCACTAAAAACAAAGTACTGAACTTTTATTACTATAATGCAGTTATTGTACTCCTCAAAAAATGAAAAATTATTATACCTGATAGAAAAAAAACTGCACTTATCACAATATACCTAAGGTAATCCTCCAATCATTTCATCACTTCCTAAAGGCTTACATTTTTCAGATGGTATTATATTCCAGGAAAAATACTACTAACAGTAATAGGCTGAGACTAAACTTAAAACTTTGTTGCTAACCATTATGGCTTCTGCAAACTTCCTTGAATTATTTGTAATGGAATGATAAACTATTATGGACAGGTATTATTGTAAGTGAACTTTATATGAAGGTATTTGAATGGTGTAGCAGGATACCTTCAGGAAACTGAAAATGATTTTTTAACACAGTTCATACTGTATGAATGTGTTTGGAAAGAAAAATTACCAGAAAACAAAAAAAAATACTTTCCTATTATTCAGAAGAGTTTTTTAAAAATTACAAAAATTGAGGGATTTCATTTCAAAAGTTTATTTTTTAGATTTTGCTTTAAAATTGTGTTCTTAAATATCATTGACACAGAAATAACTTACACTTTTAGAATATGAGTTTTTGTATTAAATATTTAAAGTTAATAATGAACCTGTTTGAGTATAACATTGTCTTTGCTATAAGTTTAAGAATAAAAAAAATGGGTAACTGTAAGGTATAATTTTTCTTGTACGTTGTAGACTTTTCCTTATGCACAGTTTTGGGTGGAAAAAAACTTAAAATGTTTCTGTAACATAGTTTTTATCAATTAGTTTGAGTATCTCTAACTCAATGAAATTATCATTAACTTACAGCAACCTCTGTGGAATCACCTGTTGACTTTCTACAAGGAAAATAAAGTGTTGGTTGAAGGTCCATTAAATAATCTTAAAGAGAGCATGATTCAGTTCAGCAAACCACGAAAGTTAGTTAACACTGCTAATCCAGTAAGTGAGATCATATTTTAATTCACTTAAATAACAAAAATATGGTTAGAATTGATGTTTTGGTACATATAGTAGACAGTGTATTGATAAAAGTACATTTATATTCAATTCTGTATAGCATGATGATTGGTTAATATTTATAAATTTGTAATAATGGTTTCTTATATACTTAGGTTTAGTCGTGTAAACCTATAAAATAAACTGTTAACTGTGTGAGAAGTAGTTTAACTCTGATAAATACACAGAATCTTATGGAAATTGCAAATCATACAAAATAAAATATTAAGAGGAAAAAAATATCCAAGCTCCATTCATTGAAATAGTAATGCTGGAAGGGGCTGTTATCACATTCTTGGTGATTCTGTTTACAGAGTAATACTCATTACTCCGTTACTCCTTTAATGCTCTTGCTATGGGTAAGTCAAAGTGCGTGTATCGTGATGATGTAGTTACATTTAAAGTTTAACTGAACTACTTTATTATCATTGTATACAAATAAACTTGGCATCAAAACACAGTAAATAAATCAAGTTTTATTACAGTAGTCCTTCTTAGGTACAACTGACCTATCTGCCATGATAAAAAAGTCATATCTGACAGGAAGTCATTATTCAAAGGATCAATAATCAGATAATGAATGACCGAGCTCAAGCTGTGCCACTTGCTATTCCCAGGGGTTGAGCATAATTGTATAGGTAGTCAGATAACATAACAAATTGGTATAATAATAGTTATGATAGATAACAGTTCAGTAAGAGATAACTTAAAATTGTTTTATTTGTGTTTTATGTAAAATAATTTATTTATTGATCACATTTATTTCATAAACGTCCACATATCACATTTTTATTACATACATATAAAATATTACAAACTGACACAAAAATTTATTTCATAAAAAAAAAATGCCCATCTTTGTTTATTTTGCATATTTAATGGAGTCACTTTGAATGTTCACGAGTCTGGCAGTTATTATATCAAGAAGCATTTCGTTGTTAGTTTTCAGCTCATGATTTTAGTATCAATTTATAATATAACTTGCAATAAATGTCCAAAATTCTACATCAGAGAAACTGGAAGAAAATTGGAAACCAGATTCACTGAACATGATAAAAAAAAAAATCCCATCCTTGTATTTACCACCATTGCAACTCTAAAAATTCACAGTATATCTATACAGAATGCTGTACTTTCAAACAAAGAACCAAACATTGTAAACTACATACCTTAATTGAACAAAACAGCCACACCCTAAACCAAAATTTCATCTTCAAACTTGGATCCTTTGATCCCCCTCGGTGGACACAGCAGATAGCTTGATGTGGCTTTGCTATAATAAAAAAAAACACCCTTTGATCCCAGTTCTTAAAAGGGACCATTCTGCAAATTTAAAAGAACCAGTAAAGAAATAAGAATAAATATCTGAACTAAATTATTGATAGACTAGTCAATAACTAATAAGGTAATCCTCTCTGAATATAAATACTACTAAAAATTTAATATGTTGCATTAAAACAATTTCAAATTGACTGAAAATTCTCTAATTTCCATGTTTTGTTTATTTTGTTACTTTTGTCACAACTTTGTTCTGTATCAATGTCCACATCACATTTCTTTATCAACACTTAGAGCCTTCTTCTTCACAACAATATCCTGTTCTCAGCTTGAGAGATTTGCACATTTCCTGGATGCTTTGAGGCATTTTATTAGCCATGCTTACCACACAGATTAGTTGAGTCTGTCACTCAATAAACTGCAGGTTAATAATCGTCACATCTCGCTAGTAAATCCTAATCAAATTACTTAACGTTTAGACTACTAGCTCAAAATCTATACATTCACTAAAAGAATAAACCTTAATTCTGTGAGTGGGGTGAAGACAAACAACAGTTTCTGACCACCCTGGTTACCTTTTAGGACCTGAAAGTTTTAAAACCAAGATACCTAAGTGTATGTACCAAGGAGTTTGAGTTGAACACCCAGGGTACCAAGGTATATATACTAAGCTGTGAAGCAATCTCTGGTCATGTGACCTATTTGTTCAATGCTGTATTTGTGTGTCTCTGTAAATTACATTATTGTTATGAAGAAAAGTCATTATAGAGAGGTTGGACAGAAAAAAAAGTTGTATTTAAAAGGAAATTGTCATTGGGAGGGGTTGTATCTACCTGGTACTACTGTATTATATAAGCTTTAGTTTTATAAGGAAATGTTTTTAAAAATCCTCAGTCTCTCGAAGTATGAGAATTGTGACATCTCTTCTATAGGTCTTCTCTTTTCTCTAACTTATTTACCACTCCTCTGAGAATTAGAGAATTTATTGAAAATTACTCATTATAATATAGATATTACTAACATAAAGCACAATTTTTATAGCCTTTAATTTTAATTGTTTATGAAGCCATAAAGTAGAAAATTAAACTCAGTTGCCACACCCACCTGTCTCATCCTGTCTTTCACAAGTTGCCAATAGTTCTTTCTGATGTTTTGTATTATATTATTTATCACCAATAGAAAGTCCAAGTTTAATATAGCAAATTATATATTATTTTACATTGTTTTTTGTACAAACTATTGTCTGTTTTGCCTCCACTTTGAATATTTCTCTCACAGTGTTCACACTGACAAGCTTTACTAAAGTTTTAAAGACTCTTATTGCATAGTTAGAAAGTCAGAAAAATTATGATAATTATAGGACATTGTTTACTTTGTTTGTGTTATTATTCTGTGTTCTTATTATTTAATCAACCATTTAGTGTACTGGTAGCATTAGTGAAAAAGATAGGCTTAACTTTCATTGGCAGGCAACAACAGAAAAAAAGGACGCAGGTACCATGTTTCTTGTTTTTCATGTATATTCTTTATTTATTATTTTAAAAGTAATTAAAATGTAAAAATGAGAAACTTATTAGGTTAGATAATAAAAAATAATAATAATTCTTTATGGGGTATGCTCGTGAGCTGTTTGTGTTTTACATAATTCAAAATGGTAACTTGAGCTATACATTGCCGAGTGATTTACAACTTGTATGGCAGGATTATTAGTTTTACATGAGGCAAAGGGCAATAAAACAATAAATTTAAGTATAAACATATGTTTACTGTTATGAGCTTTAAGCTATTTAGGATAAACAATTGTAGTTTCCTGTTACATTCAGCAGTCATTCCAGAAAGAAAAAAAAGGATAATTTAGATTTATTTTATATTTTTTTTATGGTGGCTACAAGGTCAGTGAAATCGACTAAATGCACACATAGTTATGGTAGAGAAATTAACATATAACATTTTACTGAAAAAAAAAAACGTTTGATATTAGCAATTACGCAATTGAAATTTGACAATTTACAGGTGAAGAAAAGTATTTGTAATCTTAACATGAAAGTCACTTTGCCTTTGGAACAGTCAACACTGACTCAATATGTTCACAGACGAATTTTTAGTAATATAATAAATTTAAAAATCAGATTTTTTTGTGTACAAAAGATTTGTAATGTTTACTGAAAGCTTGTCAAATTCCTTGAAGATACACAAAACATATTAAAAGTTATATTATGAAAACTCTGATGGTTACTTTGTGATTATGAACTCAGTTGAATTGGCTGAGTCTATAGTGAGAGGGTTAAGCAAACAGTCCTTACATGAAATGTGACAACACTAACAATAACTGTAAGTTGAATCTCATATCATGTAATGACACTTGAAATAGAGAAAAAACATGCTGACTTTTTATATGTTACAGCAACATAAGGTATGCCTGTAGTTTTATTTGTTGAATGCTTTTTATGGATTTGTGTTGTTGTCATTCACTCTGTAAAAATTAACATTTCTGAAAGGATTGGGCATAATAAAATATATAATAATGATAAAACTCTGAAATACCTGTTCAGTCAGTGGTAACAAAGCAATTGGTCATAATCATTAGACAGTGTCTGTCCTGTGTTTTTTCTGTCTATTCAGTGCTTGCAAAAGAAAGTCTAATACAATGTAAGATTTTCCTGTATAGTATCAACTTGAATTTCTTTCTTGAATTTGTGATTGGTTCTTGAAAAGCCATGTTATTTCGATGTTAAAAGTTTTACCAGTAAAAAGTTAAAATTGTAGAAAGCAATTCCCAGTTTCATTCTTACACTGTGCACTTATTGGTGTGTGTGTATATAAAAGCAGCTGCTATATATGGTTTAAAAAAGTAGAAATTGAAACCTTTGTTTGTTTTTTAATGTTTGTTCATTGTGGATTTAAGTAGTTCATTGCTGGAGAATACAAATCATTATCTAAAATAAAATATGTGAATAATCTTTACCAATAACTTTTATGTTATGCATTCAACATTTCAGTGTTGGCTTCATTGGAAAATAGCAAAATAGCCTGAAATAGAACTTGTAGTTGAACTCTGTTTGTTTTTGTATTAATTGAGTTCATCAGCTCTTAATGAAAATTTCTATTCAATCAAAATATTTAGCTTTAAAAACTTTGTGGGAAGGACTAATTAGTTTAAAACACCATTTTTTAACAGGGTGGCCATTTCATGAATACAACAATGTTTGATGCCAGAGAAGCCATGATTCCAGGTAGTGTGTATGATAGATCATCTCATCTGAATGGAGGCAAGTTTCTGTTTGTCCTAGTTAATTTCTGAGTGGAATAGATAAATACCTTATTGATAGTGTAAACAGTTGAAATATGTGTATTTGAGATGAATCGTTTTAAAGAATACCTCTAATAGTACCTGTTGTAGAGCAGAAGTTTAAAGAATAGCAGGTTGCTGCTTCAAATTATTTCCTGAAAACCTTAATTTTAAGCATGTTTGTATATTTTATGGTATAAAATAGTGGTAATAATTTTGCTATTGATGTAATTCTGACAGAAAAAGGTATTTTGTAATAGAAGAATTTTCTCGTGTTCTGGAATGTCTCTACTTGATGGTCATGATGAAGATTGTACACGTATTTAAATTATGCAACTGTAAAAATATAACTCAAATTTGAATTTAAATAAAGTCTTGTGGTCTGAGAACAATTAAAAATACATTATGATTAATCCAATTTTTTCTAATTAAAATATAATAAGATTGTAATACACTTGGCATTCTTATGAATTTGTATTGCTTAATTAATTTATAGAAATTGCTCTTCGTAATAGATTATGTTAATACTTTTTAACATAAACTCTTGTTGTTTTACAGGCCAAGCTTACTTTAACAGAACACATGATCAGATTTCATACATCAGCACTGATAGAGCCCAAGGAACTGTTACCAACTTGCCTGTGCCTATTGGAATGTTCATGAACATGGCCCATATACCTCCCCGTTTTTATAATCAGCATCAACAAGCCATGCAGGGTACTTGTATTTGCATTATTTTTGTTGAAGATACATCTCTTATCAGAAAATATGTTAACATACTTAACAAGGACATGTACTTGGATCTTGCTACATTCTTATTTATTAACTTGAACTGTACCAGGTTAGATTATATCTTCATGTCATCGGATAACTGAATGTATGGGCAACTATAAAACACAACATAACTGCAAATATTACACTAATTTTAATAATTTAAGTCTTTGTTTTTTTTTCTTTTTTTACTACTCACATGGATGACTACTGTCTTGGCTGTTTGTAATGGTAAATATCCATTACAATATGATATCTTACCTTTTCTCACAAAAAGCTTTGTTGATTTGTACTGCCCTCTGTTGATGCAAATGTTTCGCTTTCTGTTAGCCTTTCTGCATATTTTCATGCAAATGATCATGCAGTAACCCTCCACCAATAGGAATGCAACACTACCCCTATCATAACTAGTCCTTTCTAATAATACACGTGTTATTTACTTATGGATTGGCATTCTTACTGTTAAGACGTGTTTGTTTTCACTTGTGATTTTCATATAATGCATTTTTTTCTCTCTCAATACCTTTTGTTAAATTTTGTTCGAGTTTACACTTTATAAGTATGCACTTACAGTTCCAGTAATTACACCTACCACTGCTGTTACTGCACCTGCAGATTTATTAACCACGTTTTCAGGGTCGGTAGTGCAATTATTGGCCGATGATGTGACTACTATGATCCATAGAGAATTGTCTAATTTCATGCAAGATTCACCACCACTTGGTGTGTCTAACAGGGAGGATGCAGCTGGGTATCTTTTTTCCCCTTCCTGAATATGCTTCTCAGTCATATTGACAGTCTTGCCTAGGCCTCCTTCTCCCTTTGTTGACTTTGTTAATCAGGCTTGTTTGATTTTGTGTCCTGTTTTCAATGATTCTTCCCCTGCCCTCCCTGGGGAATAATCTTTGGGCTAATATCTGGTTTTTCCACCTTCACCAGATATTGGGATTCTTGTTAGCCATTATGGGAAACAGTTGCAATCAATAGTAAGTATGCCTTGTCCCCCTGATACATTGGACAATCATGCTTTTGCTTTTCATATTTAGACTTCCAGCATTTGGAATCTTAGTCCTAGGTAGGATTTGAACCCTGACACTGGCTCCTTGTTTGTCACACCCACCTGTTCCTGTCTCAGAAGCTTGATCCCCATCTTCTAACCTTTTGCCAGTCCCAACTTCTTGTCCATCTGCATTGCACAACCATTTGGCTGCCTTTCGTTTTTTTGGAGCATCCTGCATTGGTAACATGATACTTGGGTCAGGGCCAGTGGGGGCCAGACTCTTCCACTTTGCCCATGTTTGGAGGTTGTTTACAGTCGATTCATGGATCTTGAAGGTGATTTCTGTAGGTCTGGCACTACACTTTTTGTCGTCTCCCCTGTTGTTTCTTCATCCAATCCAATCTCCCACTATGGGATACCATTTTATGCCAGCATTTCTTGGAGACAGTTCGGAATTTAATTCTCATGGGTGCCATCAAATGAGGAGATCCCTCTTCTCCAGGGTTTTCTTCTCGCCTGTTTACTCTTCCCAACAAGACGGGAGACTGGTACCCAGTGATTGTGTATTGTCTCTGAATCGCTTTTTCGTCATTCCCAAGTTAACCATGGAGTTGTACTTAACTATCCGTTAGGTTTTTTTTCTACTTCTTATTCGCTTCTTATTTGGGCCCAGCCTTCTCCATTTGGTTGAGAAATATGGATTGTCTCATTTGTAAGGTCTTCTCCTTACCCTCTCCTACTGCATGAGAGGTTCTATCTCTTTTGGGAGAATGGGCTTCTCTCAAAGCTCTCATTCCTCTTCATTGCTCCCACAAGCACCATCTTCAATGGGCTTTAATCGACCAATAAAGCATTGCTCGGGATCCCTGGGATACTTCTCTTACCCTTCCATCTTCATTACTGACAGACTTTGCCTGATAGCTGGATCATACCAATACTACTGCAGGGGTTCCTCTTCCTCATCCAGATTGTCACCTTTTTACAGATGTTTCTCTTTCCAGTTGGGAAGCATATCGTGACTGTCAAGGTGGACTCTACCTGAAATTGCTCTCCGTATCAATATCTTGAAGCTTTTTGCTGTTCGGCAAGCTGTCCTTCATTTCCTGTTGTCTATTTGAGGATAGGTGGTGATGTTTGTCTCAGACATTTTGACAGTGGTGTCCTACAGCAACAGGCAAGGAGGCACCCAGTCAAGATACCTTTATTTTCAAATTTTGAATATTCTTTATATGGCCCATAGTCATCAAATTACTTTTCTGACATGTCATATCCTGAGTGCCCTGAATGTGGTCGTGGATCGGTTATTCTGACCTTACTTGATTCTACTGATGAAATGGTTTTTGAATCCTATTGTTTTTCAGAAGTTCTGTGCTCATTGAGGTTTCCTCAATTTGGACATATTTGCATTTCCTCTCAACACACCACTTCCCAAATTTTGGTTGCCTGTTCCTCTTCTGCAGGTGGATGCTCCTAGCCAAAATTGTACAGATTGTTACCTATATGCTTATCCTTCTGTTTGGCTTCTTTCTCATTTCTCTTTGATAGTTCTGACTGCTCCTTGTTGAGTTCTGTTGGTGGCACTGTATAGGTCTTCTCAAATGTAGTTTCCATGCTCCTTCACCAACATTGCTCTGGCATGTGTCATCCTCCCTTACCCGCACTCCATCTTCATTTGTGGATTTTGTTTGTTCTCTTGCCAGATGGTCCAGACTTTCCAGGTATTTCGCCTCTTTGAATTCCTGTGCAGTTTGATCATCATCATTGGCAGTTTAGCAGCACAGGTGGGCGACTTACCACTCTTGATTTGTACATCGGGGTTACCATCCTTCTTCACCTTCCATTCATCACTTGTCTTTATGACAAGGCCTATCAGTTTTTTCTGTTGCAAGTTATAGGGCGGCTTTGTATTCCACCTTTAGGTTTATTAAATTTTCTTCTGTATTCCACTTTTCTGTCCTATATATGTTGTTTTGTTTATTCTCCATTGCTTGCCTTCCCCACCCTGCTTCTCTCCCTGGTTGTAACCTCAAAGTTGTCCTTCATGCTCTTATTCGCCCTCCATTTGAACCTTTGTTGTTTCTTTTTCATTGAAGTTCTTGTTTGTATTGTTGTTGGAGTGTAGTCGC